GGTTATGTGATTTAGCTTAAGTTTAACTGTGATTCATATCTTATTTTATATTTATTTTTATTTTATATTAATTAAATGTTGTGGAGTCCCGTTTTATTAATATTAATGAGAAATAAATAATGCATAATAATTGATGTAAGTTAAATTTAAAGTGGAATGTGTCACCAAACAAAAATCTAATAATAAAATATGTTTCTTATTTATCACCAGAATTTAATACAACAAACGCTCTTGAAAAAGTTGGAAACAAGTCAACGAAACGTTGAGCAAAACATGAAATAAATTCGTTTATTTTCATTTAATTAACCTGACCATAAAAGCCCAATAAACCCATATTGAAAACCATATTCGGCAGTTCACCACTTTCGGTCAAGCGAAGCAACTCTTTAGATATTTGGGTCTATTTTCTTTGCTGTGTTGTCGTGTAAGTTTTTTTTTTCATTTTTAATTAAACATTTATTGAAAATCAAATCAAAATTGCATAATATTTATAGTTGACTGACTTGTTGATGGAGATGAAGTTTGTTAATAATCATAATAATAATTGTAAGATTTAACTGTCGCTTTTAGATATATAGTCAAAGAAAATATATTTCAGGTTCTTTAATATCTTGTATTTCTACATGAATTTTAGGTATGGAATTTGATGAAAATTAGGAAAGTGTAAAATCTAAATCAATTGAAAATGAATATTTTATTATATTATATTATATTGGACTTTAAATAAGTCCAATATTAACAATTATTATTTTAAATACAAAAAAAATACAAAAAAATAAATAAATACAAAATAATTTTGGAAAAATTCAATTAATTCGAACCAAAGAAGGAATGAAAAAAGAGCAAATGTTAAATAAAATTGCAGAAATACCATAATTCAAATACTATTTTTTTTGTTATGTGAAACGATTCCAGCTTAATTTTATGATGTGAACTAAATTGTGTGTGTATGTATGTTAGTTTTTTTATTTTATTTATTTTGGCCATCATCAAGAAAAAGAGATCTGAATCTCCAGCTTTGTCGAAAGAATATAAAAAAATTATTTAGCAATAAACGTATATAAAAATTATACAAAATTTATTAAATAAAAAGTGTTTGCAATTTGTGGTATTTTTACGATTGAATACTGTCATAATAAAAGTGTTATTTCGTAGACTTGATTTAGTATTTTAAGAGTGTCTTGTAAATTAACATCTAATCTCTAAATTTCTAAACATTTTTAGTTATTTATAAGGTGTAATTAGGTAAATGAATTAATTTTGGAAATCATGAGAAAAATTAAATGTATTATGTATATGTTCACTTTACATATGCTGCTATTTGATTTTTGCTCAATAGTTGCTAATATCTATGTGAATTAGAACGCGAACGTGAGATTGAAGAACCACCTCCTTCGCCATGTCTGCAAAAGGATTCGGTGCGGCTGCGTTTTGAATGAGTAATGCGTTTAGGAGATGGAGAATCATGTTCGTATCGTCGCTTTGGTGATGGTGAATCGGTAATCACTCCGCCGCCATTGCGTTTTTCTTCGCTATAGCTACAGGGTGTTTTTTAAGCCTGATAGAACTTGAAATTGCAAAAAATAACACAAAAAATTAAATTTTAATCCAACTTTTTTTTAATTCGAAATATCAATACGTTACATTAACATTTGAAAATGATTTCGGGCATATGGGCACCGCGGGTGTTCTTGACGAAGTGCATTCTGGACGTCTAATTTTTGGCCACTTTTTCGAGCACTGCTGGCCGTATGTCACGAATAACACGACCATTGCTGGCCTCCAAGGCGTCAATTGTTGCTGTTTTATCAGCATAAACCAGTGACTTCACGTAGCCCCACTGGAAATAATCGAGAGGTGTCAAATCGCACGACCTTGGAGGCCAATTGACAGGTCCACTTCTCGAAATCAACTTATCGCCAAATTTTGATTTCAATAAGTCGATGGTTGCGTTCGCCGTATGGCACGTAGCGCCATCCTGTTGAAACCACAACTCCTCCGGATCAATGTCATCCATATTTATAAAAAAATCATTGATCATGATGCGGTAACGATCTCCATTGACCGTAACGCGAGCTCGGGCCACATTTTTGGGGAAATAAGGTCCGATGATGCCACCAGCGTGAAAACTGCACCATATGGTGCATTTTTCTGGATGTAATGGAGTCTGTAGGGTCTCTTGTGGATTGGTCTCACTCCATATGCGGCAATTTTGCTTATTAACAAACCCGTTATGCCAAAAATGCACCTCATCGCTGGACACAATTTTTCGATAAAACAACGGGTCATTTGCCAACTGCTCTAGAGCAGTAAATTTGGATAATTTCGTAACGTTGTTCAAGCATGAGTCTATTCATGATGACTTCTCAGAGTATACTGAAATTTAGTGTTACTTTTTACAATTTAAAGTTCTATCTAACTTAAAAAAACACCTTTTATAAGCTGATTCGCCATTTTCACGTCCATTTTCTCGTGATCGACCATAAGCCTCTCTAACCTTGCGTGAAGTTTCTCTTGTTCCTGGTAAATAAAGCAAATGGTGTTTTAGGTTTTGTTAAACGGTGGGCCAAAGAATTTTCTGATCCATATATAACAAAACAGTTATTTACGTCTCTTGTTAGACCTATATTGGAATACGGTTCTGTTGTATGGGATCCTCAATATGCAATATACTCAGATAAAATAGAATCCGTGCAAAAACAATTTATGCTATTTGCCTTACGAGGTTTACATTGGAATAGTGATTTTGTTTTGCCTTCTTATGCTAGCAGGCTAAAATTAATTAGATTGCCTACACTTAAAAGCAGACGTATTATGTTGAACTCCATGTTTGTACTAAAAATATTAAATGGTAATATACCTTCAGATTTCCTTATCTCATCTATTAGAATTAATGTTCCGTTTAGATCTAGTAGATACTACCAATTATTATATATTATAATTATTATCATTCAATGGGCGAACCTCTTAGTAAAATGTGTGTTGACTTTAATTCTGTGTATTGTAATGTAGATTTTTGTATGAGTTTAGAAGTTATTAAATCTAGAATAATTTTATTTTTAAACAATTAACATACATGTTTTATTATTTGACAAACTAGCTGATGAATTAGATTCTGTAGCTGGTTTTCAATTTCCTACGGAATTCCCATTATGATGCGGATCATGATGTGTACGCGTTCCCTCCGTAAAGGGAGTTCGCCCCCTCGGTCGGCAGGGGTGGGAATGTGAGGCGTGGGAACGTTCGAAAGAAAAAACAAAAACAACGACTGCGAGAGCGTGATGCTGATCTGGAGTGAGATCGCCTACCTCGTGTTACACTGCGGGAACGGCTTCGTGAATGACGTCTCCTGCTTCGTCCGTGGCGATGACAGTCTCGGGCCTAATGTCCTCTGTCACCGAGATCGTAACATTTACTCTCAGCACCAACTGCACCGCCAACTACACCGCCGGCGTTGCGTCCACCACCTCCTATACTACGTCCACCGCCGCCTCCACCACCATAACGATCAGGAACACCTACTCCTCTGCGGTCACCACCACTACCCCCGCTTCGACCCGGTTTTACCTCTGTCGGTAAATAGCTCGATGCGTGCACGACGGTCACATTGTCCGCCAGTCTAAACCTCTAATTGCATTCGCTGCATCACGAGCATCCTCAAATTCTACAAATGCAAATACTGGAGGGAAACGAGCTATCCAAACTCTACGCAATGAACCGTAGGCAAAAAATGCATACTCCAATTAATTTTTGCGAGCAATGTTTCCGAAGTCACCAACATACACCTTCCGATCAGTGGGATAACGAGACATTTTCTTTGACATATTGCTTTATTGATGTAATTGCCCTTCTTCTGCACAAACACTTGTTTTCTTTTATCTTAATATTTGATGATTATTCAGTTATTCAAATATTTTGTCCTTTAATTTTGCAACAACCAAGCGCGACTGATATTGCGATATGTTCAGCTCACGAACCATTTTTCGGCCACTGCGACACGGGTTTCGATCAAGTCGCTCCTTTACTTTTCGAACCATTTCTGCTTATGTTTCCTTGTCATCGGGCTACGCTATCAGTGTTACGGTAACGAGCGATGGTACGAGACACAAAAGATTTGCGCACATTTAAATTCTGGAGTGCTCTAACGATAGCCACTTGTTGATTTCCAGCCAAATATATAGAAAACACACTATCACGTTTAAATTCCATCACGAATATTTTTTTTTTCGAAAATTCTCACCAAAATGCTTTTGTACGCTTCTAAACAATATAATGAGCTGTCACTGAAATAATTTTAGCAGCCTGAAGTTGGTTGCAGTTTTTTCATCTCACCTTGTATATGCAGTTACTTTCAATCAAAATCAAAAAAGGCTTTAACACAATCATACAAACATTTTTTTTTGTTTATTAAGAATATGACCACCTACTAGAAGCTACAGTTTTAAGTCTAGTCTAATGCGAATTCCCTTGATCCGAGTCAGGATTGAGGCCAATCCCGGACCATAGTTTTTAAAATGTTTATAAGTGCGGTTGTAAAATTTAGAAAAATTGCTAAAAGAATTTTAGTTCAATTCAATTCTTTGGTTCCTCTTCTATTGAGCTTAATTGTCATAATAGTTATTTAAAATAACTTCTGGGGAAAATATCCCCTGACAAAATCTAAGAGAAAGATGAGGATTGATGGCTGTTTCCGAAACCATGGTATACCCTGCCTTACACTCTGCTTATTATTACCATTTTTCTCCACTAGAAACAGCAATAATGGAATTAAGCCTAACTATTTTGCAACAACAAAATAGCTATGGACTTAACGTGATTATTTCATTAATATTAATAACACATCAATTCTATGGTGTAAAATTACGAATAAAAACTCGAAAATGTTTATATATGGTAGCCCACTTCGACACATTTGCAAGTTTTTTTATAAATATGCATCTGATTACTGACTATGTAGTTTATATTTTCTCAAACGATTTTAGTAAATACGCTTAAATTACCTGTAACAGCGGAGAACGTAGTAATTGGAGAACTGCTGGTAAAAACAAATCGTGTATTCCGATTAAGGCTTTTGGATGTTTACGAGCAGTAGTTGTTAACAATACCAAAGAATACTGTGCAACGTGTAAATCCGAGTCTGAAATTAACGGTTGAATTTCAGAAATAGCGGTTTGTAACAATGGCGGTCCAAATATATCCAATGGGTAGTTATCGGCAAGCTTATTTAATAAATCCAGTGAGTGTAGTTTTAAAGCCCTTTGGTTCTTACGTAAGAAGGTTCCCAGGGCCGGCATGACTTCACTTAAAATCGACGTTAAATCAATTCTTAGTGGAGATGCAGCTATCATTGTTAATGCCTTTACACAACTGAGGCGAGTAATTTCGTTTTTCAAACGTTCTAAAAATATTGGCAAGCAAATGTCTAGTTGTGGTTGTAGAACATCGCCCATGTTAGCAATTATCTGTCCCATACAAGCAATCGCTCTCTCTTTAACTTCTTGATCCACGTCTGTTGTTTTCAGTTTTTGAAGTGTAGCTAAATATATTTGATTTGCAACTGGTGTTATATCAAACATATTAGTTGAAGCAACATTATTACCAAGCGGTCGAATAACCTGTACCAACTGTTGAAGTACAATTAATCCTTCAGTAGCTATTTTGTAAAAAGGATCAAACACTGCAGTTACAACTAATGGTACCAAAACTGGAATATGCGAGGCGAACACATAAGGCTGATGTCCCTGTAGTAAGGATGACATAAAAGAGAGAGCTTCAATTTTCATATTACTCGTAGAGTTTTTATCATTCAATGAAAAATGTATTCCTGGAACAATATTGGTCAAATGTGGCCCCAAGGCACCCGGTACGGCAATTAGAAGTTCACGCAAAAGTAAGAAACAATCTTGTCGGGTTTTCATAGATTTTTCTTTCATCAAGGGACATGTCGCTTTAATGATTAATGGAATTTGTTCCATTAAAATTGATAGATGTGACGGCATTTGCTCCATTGAATCTGGGTCTTGAGAAATTTCAAGCACAGAACGTGTATTTTTCAATAGTGCAATATAAGCGTGAAAAATGTCAGATTTTACGTTTTCTTCTCGTTCCTTGAAGCGAGCAATTAATGATGGACTTAAATCACGATAGAAGTCATCCAGCATATCATGTCTAGTGATTATTATAGATTCAAGACACTTAGCAGCGGCCCTTCGTACTTTCCAACTCATATCATCATCATCGCTGTATTCCTCACTGTCATCGTATTCGTCATCTTCAGTATCCATTGCTATATTACTCTCAATATCATCAGCTTCGTAGTTGTAGTTAGGATCATACGTTAAATATTTAAGACATAATTGCAGAATCTGAAAACATAAAAAGACAATATAGCTATTACTAAAAACAAATTAAAATCAGAAATTGTCTGTGCCACAAATACTTTTGACTATCTAAATATATTATAAAAAGTTTTGGAAGGACATAGAGGGCACACATGTTAACAATTCAAAAATTGTGGGCATAAGTCTCCTTCTTTTCACTGTCACTGACCAAGTATAAATTGTTAGAAATTGAACTAGTCAACCTATACATCTCCTGTGTTCTTTCACGAAAAAGACAGCCAATATCTTTTGTAAGAATAAAAACCTCTAAGGGTTTAATACAAAAGAAGAATGTTTTCTGGCGTATTATTATTATTAAAGGAAAGGTTTAGTTCGCACGAATAAGGTATATTTAAACGTTTTGCACTTAAAATTGTTTTGACTTTTCTTGCTGTCTTTTAAAATTGTTTTATGAATTCGAATAATTTCATAGGAGAAATTTTTGGCAATTTGCGTTAATTTTTATCATTATCTTTTGAATTTGCCTCTTGCGTTTATATAAGCAATTTTTCTTTTTCATCATTGCCTATTATGTCATTCTTGCATATATTTTTTAAATATATTTTTTAAACACAAAAGGAATTGCCAGTACGAACAATTTTTTTCATTTCCATTCACCTTAACTCTTTCTCTCCTGCAAACATAGACTTGGCGCTAGTAAACTTGCCTAATGTAAATTCAGACATCGGTTCATTTTATCACAAAGCTTCGGTTGACTAATATTGGCAAGTTCGATGATCTTAGAAATATTCTGCAAAATGGAAAACTTCAAATAAATAACATTGCGATAACAATGAAAACCCTATAAACCCTCTTGTAAACGTATTGAAGTTCTTGGCTACAAACTGTTGCACAATGATCGTTGTAATTTACGATGCGTTGTTGGTGCTTTTAATGTAAAAGAAATAGAAAATTCAAAATGCAACTTTATAGCAAATTTTACATACTTGCAGCATGGTAACATTGACTTTTTGGAAAATTGTTTATTATTTCTAAATTTGAACATATCTCCTCGTAACTATGATCTTCTTCGACTAATATTCACGTGATTTTCGGTTTTCATCATGCGTTTTTGCATATTCAATGTGATTTGAATTTGTCAGAGGGAGCACTTGCGCAAATGACAAAATTACAATGAAATTACTTTAATTCTCTTATCTATAATATTTATGACCATAATAATTCTTCTTTATATTTTACTAATGATACTGACCCTAAATTATTTCTTAATACATAATTGATTAATTTATATAACAACTCATGTGCCTGAAATAACCAGATTTTCACCCTTTTCGGAAAAGTTGATTCGCCCCTGAGGGTTGCAATGTTATTTGTAAAAGAGAGCTTATATGGAAAATAATTTTGGAAGGAATAAAAAAATGTTCAATTCATCATGCAAACGTTTCACAAGCTTCTCGCAACATTTTTGACTTTTTGTCATGAATTCGCCAATTCGGTTTCGTAAAAAGTTATAATTATAACTGTGAAATTAACACTTATTTCACTTCTGTGTTTGCCAACCATGTGTCCTTTTCATCTAGTCTGTCTCTCTATGTCCAATAAATGACTTTAACTTTCGCAATAATATGTATTCATGAGTGCAATAAATAGCATTGAGTCTAATGCAGTAGGTCCTGATTCTATCCCAAATTTAACAAATTAATTCGTTATATATCTCTACATCTTCTAGACACTTACAACATTGTATTAATGACCCGAAAAGTTCCCGCAAGATGGAAGTTTGCAATGGTTGTTCCCTTCTTGAAAAGAGGTTTCATTCGAGTTCATTATGTTTTGAATTTAGGCTCACTTCCATATTGGTGGCACTTTCTGGAGTCTACAAACCTTGCAATATTAAATTTAAGCAAAGGGATTTACCCGATTGATCTCAATATACTTCTACACAAAATCGTTACCCAATTTTTTTTCCACTTTATCCCTACTATCTAATTTGATCCTTTCTGTTTGATTGTTCACAAAATATTGTTATGTTGTACGTAAGTGATCTTCGTAGCTCTGCTCTAAATTCGATGTTGACTATATATGCATTTGACTTATAATTTTTTCGGCTTCTTCCGTCCTCGGTAAAGTGAATAGTGATCTTAACTGAACATGTGATTGGTTTGTACGTAATGATATATCAATTGACATTAACAATACGAAATATCTGATATTCGGTAGCCATCGTTATAACCTATGAGTTCAAACTATTGTAATACAAAAATGTAATATACAAAGATGTATTTATAAGGTGTATGCATCAGCTACAAAAACGAACATTTTACAAGAAGAACATTGTTGTTATTGAAACTAAAAAGTAAATTTGACAATTGAAAAAAAATAGACAAAAAAAAATTAATTAAAGTTTGGAACAAATACTGAACATTTACAACTCCCATGACTTCATATGCATTAATTTTAAATGCCTACATATCAGAACATTTGTGGTAAATGTTTATCGTCTAATCAAAATAATTAAAATTATTCCAGTGATCGAATTCAAGCGTGATAGTGTGATTTCTTTATATTTGGCTGGAAAACCACAAACAATCACTATCGTTAGAGCACTCCAGCATTTAAATGTGAATAAGTCTTTTGTGTCTCGCACCATCGCTCGTTACCATGATTCTGGTAGCGTAGCCCGACGTCAAGGAAGTGGACGGAAGAAAAAATAAAATAAAGAAGCAACTTGATCTAAACTCCCCACATAGTGGCCGAAAAATGGCTCATAAGCTGAACTTATCGGAATATTCCATTCGGCAAATATTGAAAAATGAGCTCGGGGTAAAGCCATTGAAATTCCAAAAAGTGCACCGCAACAGAAAGAAAACAAACTCAAAAGTGAAAACATTCGTTGTCCAGCAGTTTGTAAACAAATAAAATGATAGTGTTTACTTGCCAAAGAGGTCAGCTGAAAAGGGTGCACCTTTATGTCGGTTGGCCACCAGAGCACTTAAACAAACTATCCGAGCACCCAAATAACTTGGCCCGCCAACTCCTACTATTCGGAGGACACGATAGACTGCGCAGACGTGACACTCTTTCTATCATATAGTTTATTTTTTTTTTGTCTTACGCTCTCATTATCTTCAGCTCTTGTCTGGCCAATTGAACGTCGCCCACTGTTATACTTCTATAGGTAGTAGTATGCTAAATTGGAAGCTGCTTCTGTGAAGAAATCGAAAAGACTATTACTGTAGTCCGCGGGAAGATTAGTGAAGAAATCGATAAGACTATTACTGTAGTCTGCGGGATGATTAAATATAACTGTATCTAAACAAAGCAACATTATATCCGTAAGACTATTTCTGTAGTCCGCGATTCACTTAGATATATCTGTATCTAAACTAATCTACTCAATCCTAATCCTACTCAATCAATTCACGGATATAACTGTATCCACAAGCCCACAAAATAACACACATCTATATCATAAAAAAAAAAAAACAATAATAATTAAAGCATGAAAAAAATATGGGGTGATTGTATTGATAACCTCCCTATAAAAATATTAGTATATAAGATATGAAACCTTATTGTTATTTTCATTAAATATATGAAAGATTCAATAAATTAAACAATAAAAATAAAAAAAAAACCAGAACACAAGCGCCTGTCATGGTGATTTTGTGGGCCGCCATAACAGCCGATGGTCGCTCTCCGCTCGTATTAATCGACCGTGGCATCAGATTAAATGCCGAATATTATCGCGAATATATTCTGGAGGATGTATTAAAGCCTAGGGGAACGAAAACATTTTGGCCGCAGACCTTGGACATTCCAACAGGACTCAGCACCATCGCTCTCAGCACGCGCCACCAAAAAATGGTTACAAAATGAGGTTCCTCGCTTCATTTTCAGCGCACAATGGCCACCAAAATCTCCGGATACCAATCCGTTGGACTATTGTGTCTGGAGTATTTTAGAAAGCAAGGTTGACACTAAAAAATACCAAAGTCTCGATCAACTCAAGCAAGCGATTCGCTGGGAATGGGCCAGAATACCGCTGAGCAAAATTCGGACTGCGTGTGACGGTTTCATTGGCCGTTTTAAGGCCATAATTCGTGCCAAATGTGACCAATTCGAACAAATCTAAAGATATTCCAAAAGATGATGCTTTCATTCAATAAGATTTAAAAACAATTAAAAATTATTGCGTTTGACTTCGTTGCAGTTTTTTTATGTCGCCCCGTATATGTCGCTAACCTCTTTTCTGCATAGCTGCATTTGCTCCACCTAATTTGGTTGAGCATTTTTTTCTTTTGTCGTTGAAAAGCGTTTTTTATGTTTTAATCGCTAATACACTAAATGTTGTTCTAACATCTGGATATAATTAAAAAAGTATTTTATAATTTCGTTTACTCATACTTTTGACTAACATTTCTATAGCTTCTTTGCAAATTTGTGATATGTCCACACAGGTTCTAACCTCGTTGATTTTCTCTTATTGGACGATTGAAAAATGATAATAATTATGGCCCTTCTAACAAGCAATAACGAACCAAATTAGTAAGCATTAATTGTTTGTAATCATCGCGAAGGACTGAAAATAATTCGGATACGTTTCTGTCTTCTTCTTGAAATGCTTAGCTTTCATTGCAGCATCTTGGTTTACTTCAACTTTTTCGCCAATTTCAAGCAACCTTGCCTTCAAAATATCAAGTTTTGGAAATTCGTTAGCAGTATCAACAGCCGCCTTAACGGCTGAAAATTATATATATATATATATATATATATATATATATATAACGGCTGAAAATTATATATATATATATATATATATATATATATATATATATATATATATATATATATATATATATATATATATATATATATATATATCATCAGCCGTTATATATATATATATATATATATATATAATTTTCAGCCGTTATATATATATATATATATATATATATATATATATATATATATATATATATATATATATATATATATATATATATATATATATATATATA